GGTTATAGAAATGGGATAATATTTGCAACTATAAAGTGTGAAGTTGGCAGCTGGGGCAATATGAGGGTGTGGTGTTGCTACAGTACTGCTCCCCTGAACTCCATCCTTCCAGTCACCTGTTCCCAGCTTCTCAGAACCAGGCACAAGGGTTTTCTATCACCCATCTGCAAGCTTGCCTCTCTGTAGCCTGTTTCCCTACAAGCAGGCCCACAGCTCTGCTTCTCTATGAGCTGCCTGTCTGCACTGACTCAGCCACTTATTTCTGCTGTCTAGCCCAGCTCTCGGTAACAGAGGCTACTGATTCTCCCAATTCATCAGCAGCCTGCTCAGCTCTGCTGCAGCTGTCATTTAACATCCTACCTGGAGCCCAACCCTTGTAACCTATTTTTTTCCTCAGTTGCTCAAAGTAGTGACCTGTAGCTTCTCTGCAGCTTTGCTCTTTCTTTATTCAAGTAACAGGGGTTAGGGGCCCCACTTATAGGAGGTAAGCATTACTAATGGACAAGATCTAATTAATATTAAGAACAATGTTAGCACAATAAAAATGAGTACACATGGTTATGAATAAATTTAGACTGGAATTTAGATGGGGGTTTCAGTGAGCATGCTTAGGGAACAGCCCATAAAACAATTGGGGCAGAACAACTAGTTCTTAAATTGTGCTTAATAAATTTGTAAAAGGAATTATGATGCAGTGGTCTGCTGTAGCAGGGGACCAGATTTAGTGACCTTCTAATTACCTTAAGTCTTATGTCCTATGCTCCCATATCCCAGCGTGGGATGTAGGAGGACGTAACAGCAACACTAGTTCTGTCGGTGTCTTTACAGTAAATTCTGTAATGTGAGTGGCCAAAACCTGAGGAGTGTTGAGCTAATCTATGGGAACTGGGACTGCTCCTGTTGGTGTTTGGTTTGAAGATTCTGAACCTGCCGCCTAAATAATGAAGCCATTGCCCTACTTAATGGCATCATCTTCAATGGAAAATGGACTGGCATTCAATATTTTAAAATCAATATTACACGTTAGAAAAAATATTGTGTCATTCCAGGAATTTACAGATCGATACTATTGTATTGAAATACAAATTATAATATCAAGTACACTCAATGAAAATCAAACACACAGTGATACATTATATAAAGGAAAATAGCCAAAAAAAAAATCAACAGTTGTTTTTCATGTGGGTGTTGGGTGCTGCGTGCTTTGTCTTTGGATCTTTCAGATGAGAAATTTAAAAAATAGCTGATGTGTGGGTGCCAATGACCTATCTAATGGTATCTCTTTGGGTTGTAGGGTTGGGAAGCAGTTCCAGATGCAAGGAGGATACAACTTTGCCCTTTTAAAAATGGCAAGTAGAATGTTTATGAGCCAGTTCTTGAAAAAATACTATCATCATATCTTATTTGAAATGTATTTATAGCTAAGATGAAACCATTCAGACTGCAGTATTTCTGGAGGTTACTGCTTTTATTTGTAATGCAGAAAATCTTTTTAAAAAGTTGTAATTCATTAACTTAATTAGAGCATTACTAACATAAATACTTTTCATAAAATAATTCCTTACAGGCACTGTGTTTGCACCAGTACCAATGCAGAATAACTTTGTTGACATCAAATAACATTTTTCTATTCAACTAATGGTTTTTCTTAATTCTAATGCAAGAAAGCCAGAAGAAAGCAATCCTATGAAGCTTGCCTTTCGAAGGGATTATGAATGAATGGCAGTTAAAGCCAGACTCGAAGGAGGGGCCTGACAGAAAAAGAAGAAGGAGGTTGTTGTAAATTTAAAGAATTCACAAAGAAAGACAAGTAATTTTGTGTGTGAACTGCTGACAGGAAGGAATAGAGATTAGAGCTGGAATAGGAGATGAAATGAAAATGAAAGTGAACATGGGCATCCTGAATTTCATGCAGTCATAAAAGGAAACCAGTGGAAACATCTGCAGACAGTGAGCTAGCTTGAAAACCTGTTATTTATTGGGCAGTTATTCACACAAGTGATTCCATCAAAGTCATAATCTGTCCTGAGGTGACAGATGAAAATGACATTTTGCACATTATGCAGATTTTCAATATCTGGTGTGATGAGAGGCATATCAAATAGATAGGCAGCAGTAAACCCTGCAGGTTTTTTTTTTTATTGCATTTAGTCTAGGGTTGACCACACATCCTGGCCTGGCTGGGCAGTTCTGGATTTCATAGGCCATCCTGGTGTCCCAGTTAGTTGGCTAAAATTGAAGCAAAAGACCCAGATTGGTGGTGCTACCTGGCCTGCACGTGCCCAGCCCGGCTCCTCCGGAGCAGTGGCTGGAGGCTGGTGGGGACGGGCTGGGCTGAGCACTGCTCCTCCTGCCTGGGGTTGGGATCGGCTGGGGCAGGGTGAGGCTGGCTGGGGGAGGGGACTGGGGCCAGGGTCAGGGCCAGAACTAGGGCTTGGCACCTGCATGGAGTGAACTGGGATGGTCACCCACGAGCAGCATCCTCATGCCCTGTTTCTGTGGCTGCTGCCGAGGCCTAGGCTGTGCATGGTGGCCCAGGGTGGCTGCTGGTGAAGAGTGGGCTGGTGGAGCCTGGGGACACCCCACAGGGGCTGCTCCCAGCCTTGTCCAGCCTCTGTGCATGGGGATGGAACCTGGCTAGGGTCTCCATGCTGTCCTGCCCCTCCCCATTCCACCATCAGGGTTCCTGGGAGCTGCAGGGTCACAGATGTATGTGTGTGTGTCTGTGCTTATGTTTGTGGCTGTGTATGTCACAAGCCTGGGCATGCTGCAGCTCCTGCCCTCCCTGGGTGCTGAGGAGCCCCTGCCAGCCCTGCCTGGGATCAGCCACCCTCCACGGTCCCCAGCCTCAGCCCAGAGCTGTGTCTGTGTGGAGTGAGACATCATCCACCTTAGGGTGAGTGCCCTGTATTCGACTCCAGTGCTGCAGGGGGGAGGCTGAGTCTCTGTGGGTTGCTGCAGTGCATGGCTGCTTTCTGGGCATAGCCGGTGGCCCCGGGAGCTTCATTAGGGCTCAGCCTCCACCCACCTCACTCCCTGCAGTGCCAACAGCTCCTTTCTGCAGGTACAGCTTATACAGTGCTTTGGGATTCCTGCTTTTTCTTGTAGTGTCTGTGTGTGTGTGGGGGGGGGAGGGGGCTGCTGTGTGTGTGTTGCCTCCCATCCCAGATGTCCTTCAAAATAATATAGTCACCCTAATTCAACCCATGTCAGTAAGCCATCCTTTCACTTCAGGCCTTGGCAAAAAGATTCAGTAAGGGATTCGAGAATTTATTTTTTAAAGAACGATGCAGGCAATTAGAAATAGCAACCAATAACAGTTTATCCAAACACTATCAAACTGACATATGTGCTCTCTTTGGAATTTATTTCATGCTATGTCTGGGCTGATATGTTAAAATAGAGGCAAGCGCTGTTCTAATTAGCCCTTTGAGTTCTGATTTATTCTGTTGTGGCTGAAACTAGCATTTGTGACACCACAATCACATTTACAGCTGAGTGTGACATGACTAAAGGAAAAGGCAAGGAGGATGCCCTTTATAAAAGAGCTTCTATGTGAATACAGTTTTTAGAGCTTGATTTTCCCCTGAGGCTGCAAATAACAGCTACAACCGATACCTTTGTATTAAGCCAGGTTGGAGAAGTGAATGCCGAATCTTTATTTTTTTTAAACGCTAGTGTGTCACTTTTCCATCCCAGTCGTCTCAGAACTCTTTAAACAGTAGCATAGGGCTGTGGAGTGAAAAGTATCGGTAGATTAGCATTGGCAGGTTCCAGGGCTCGTTGAGGATTAAGCAAATTTGTTGTAAGCTTCAGATATTTTTTCCAGCTGACAGTCCCATAAACTGAGATTTGAGGTCAGACAATCCTTTCTGGCTTATACGTCATTGGGGTAATTTGCAGGGGTACAACTTAATGCAGTTTTGTTGGTTATATAATTGGAATTTAATTAACAGTTGTGTAGAGAATAGAAGCTCTCCCTTATCTGTGTTAGATCCATAGGATTGACAGGTATAAAAAAACCCGGTTGTAGATACCTAGTTTGTGGCTGAAGTTAGTTGATGTCAGAAATTGCATGCGAATAGGAGATAATATGTGGAGCATAGAGGTACTTTTCTTTTCATTGTCATCCTACCAAGTGGAATCGCACTGTAAAGATGCATTACAATTTCCCTGAAAAGTAATAAGTCAGTGGTGGAACCAGGAGTGGGTGAGTGGGGCACAAGTCCTGACTGCTTGCTGACTTAGTTGGGGTGCAAGAATGCAGCTACTGTCACTACTGGTCTGGCTGCCAATCTGTATGGGTGAAGTTGTACATTACATTTAAACCATACTAATTCTTTTGGAATGGTGTTAAAGGTAGAACATGCTGTTAACAATTGCACATTAAAGGTTAATACTGTTTCTTGCCTGCACAGCTCTGACTTGCCACTTTAGGGCTGGTGAGCAAGGGTGTGGCTAGGAGGCAGGACACCTAGGTTCTGTCCCTGCACTGGTTGTGGGGGAGAGACCTGGGAGCAATAAATCTTGGGATGCTGGAGGACTGCAAATTGTTCATTTGATCTCTGTGGAGCAGACTGAAGTTACTCTACAGCAAGCTAGGTAGCACAACCCAGAGTTAGCACAACCCTGGCCCGAAGCAGCATCTTCATTGTCGATGAACCCTCATGGTTGAGGATGATCACTCTCAGGGGTCAAGTGAAGTGGTGTAACTGAATCAGAACTCATGGCAGAGGTGATATCTTTTGTTAGACCAGCTAGATTTTTGCAAAAAAATTAATTCTTTAATTGCAAGCTTTCGGGCACAAGCATTTCTTCAGGCATAGGAGAAAGGATTGTAAAGTTCTCCCAGATAGAAATGAAAGTTCATGGCTATTTTTAAAGGTGGAACGCTATATACATGAGATGCTGTAGTGTTTTAATCCTTATACTTACCTTATTTTATCAAGTTCTCTGCCCTTCTTTATGCAGCATCATTAATAAAAGCTGTGTGAAGTTACAGAAGTTGTTGAATGAAGACATTTGGAAGCCTTATTATTTCTTATATAAATATTACCTTTTATTAGACACTCAATTGTTGCATGGCATTGATTTTAAAAAAAGCATTCTTGCTCTGTCAGTAGTTTCAGTCTTTTGACACATTTTCCATCCCAAATCAAAGATTCAATATATCAAAAAAATTGCAAAATGATGAGGTTGGAAAGATTCTGATCAGAAAACAAAGTGTTTTGTGGCAGGTCATTTCAACACTCAGCTGTGTGCACCACAAACCTTTTTGTACTTCATTGGCATTGTAGTTTGTTTCTCACTTCCATTCTCCCCTTTTGTGGGACTCTTCAACAAAACTGCATTTCTCTCCAGGATGGGTATTATTTGTGTTCACTTGTAAACGTTCAAGTAACTTGCACATGATTTACCAACATATAGTTCCCTGCTGTTATCCGGTATCAGATAAATGTAAACTTCCAAGTTGAAGTATATTTTAAGTTTGCACAATGGAAATTTTCCGTCCTCATTTTATGAGGGAACAAAACCAATTCAAGACGCCTAGACTGAGTAATCACCATTAAGCAAAACAGCTCCAGTTTTCAGCAATAGTTATTTAAAATTTACTCAGGACACAGTTTGCCATCTATACATAACAAAAAATCCCAACATAAATGTTGAATAAATCTGAAATCATAGTCTGCTTTGTTATTCATGGAATGCAAAAGATACTATTTATACAGAACAAGGTATTTGTTGTGAATTGTTCATGAAGCTCTGGTTATTATTAGGATCCCTCTGCATTTACCTACTAGTTTGAATGTATTTGATATAGCATGGATAAAAATACACATTAAATCTGATTCTCTAGTACCAGGCCCTTTTGCATAGACACCCAGTTACAAAGTGGATGTAAAACATAGCCATCCCAATTGAACCCAGTTTGCGTGGAAGGAAATAACGACAAAAATAGAATAGGGATTCAGCAATTAAGATCAAATGGATTGATATTTGAATAGTTTCTGGATTGTTGAGCTTCGCTTTATTCACCCTGCATAATAATTCTGCTGTTTATACCTAGATACCAAGGCACTATGGGATAACATTATGTATAATTCAGCCACACAAACACTAGCCTGGGAACCAGCCTGTCCTGTGCAAGTCAGAGTTAGCCTATGCAGGTTAATGAAGTCTAATTACCAATGTGTGGATCTCCAAAACTCATCATATACAGTTCCAGAAAATGTGAGTATTATGTAGTTATTTTCGGATTGTGAGATCAATGGCTCTAACCTAAATCCAATGCTTAACATAAGTAGCTAGAATATGGAATTATGAATTGGCCTGTTCTTAGTATTACTACGCTTTCCTGTGATTTAATAATTGAAATGTTGTTTAAAAGGAAGATGTTCTCTATTCCTTCCCAACGAATTAGTTTTACAAAATGTACTCGGTTCATAGGTTTGTTCTTTCTGTGCATCCTGGGTTTTAAAGCTTACTAATTATGAACCTTCTCTCTTCAAGCACATAAGATATTCTCGTGTGGACAGCCATCCAGGACTTTGCATGAAGGTAAATGGATTGATTTTCTTGTAGATTCCATTTATGTCCATTCTCCTCCCTTTCTGAGTATCAGCTACAAAAATGAACTGCCAGCAAGCTTTAGGATGAATACTTTTTCTCATCTAATTGACAAAAAGGAAATAGAAATGAAGGAAATTCAAAATGTGAGTATACGAGGAGGCTGTGTTAGGGAAGGCAGTTAAAATGATAGAGCTAACGTGGGATCATA